GGGGGGCTCGGCCTGACTGACAACTACCCAAGAAACTCCCTCACACACCCAACCAACGTCCCCACAACCTCACCCTCCCTCTCACCATCCCCATCCTCACTTAACTTCCTCCCCAATATCACAGGCACCTTCTCAAGATACCTCACCGACTCCCCCTCCTTCGGCCCAAGCTCCGCCTCCATCTCCGACCCAAACCCATCCGCAACAGCCTCCAGCAACGCCACAGACCGGTCAAACAGCTCGAAATAATCCAGCGTCAGCAGCCCTTCCACCTGGGACGTCACCGTCTCGTCGAGCACGCGGAGCATCTCGACTGGCGAGAGCCGCAGGAGGTCGGCTTTGCGTTGGTAGTCTTGTTCTGTCTCGGGTTGTTTGCTGGCTGTGTATTTCACTAGGGCTGTTTGGTCGGCGTGGTGTTTGCTGTTACCGTTCGGGGGGTTCCCGTTTTCGTTTTCGGTTTCGTTTTCGTTGTTATTGTCGTCGCCGCTGTCGTCCCCGCCTAGATCCATAGATTCAAGTGCCTTGAGCAACTTCTCCTCCTCGCTCCGCCGAATCTGCAATCGCTGCGCGGTAAGCCCACCAAGGTACTCCACAAACGTGATGCGTCTCTCATCAAAGCAATACCGCTGATACAGACTCTCCCGCACCGCGACAGCCGACACAAACTTCTCGAGTTCCACTGGCTGGGCGCCCTTTTTGTGGCGGCCCTCTCCCGGCTTCGTACACACCTGCGCAAACCCCCGGATTATACTCCCCGCCCCCCGGTCGGGCCCCAACCACGCCTTGAACGCGCTGTCGTCTGCAAACGTGGCTACATAAGCCTGCATCTCCGTCCATACCCGGACGTTTGTTGGATCGGCTGCGCGAGCGGCGTGGTACAGACCCGCAGCGGCATCCACAACAGAACTTAGCAGGACAAATTCGTGTCCCAGCTGGCTATGCACTAACCTCGCGCGGAAATCAAGCAGGCCCGCCCATACCGGCTCGTGCTTGAGCAGGAAGAAGGGCTCCGGGTCATCGTCTAAGCCGACCTGCCGCAGTCGCGCCTTCTTGTCGTCGAATAAAAAGTCCTCCACCATGTAGTGTTCTGCTTCCCACGTGCGGCCGAGCCACGTCCGCCTGAGGTCGGGGTCTTTGACATACTTGGTTGGGTTGTGCCCTTCCAGCGCTTGCATCAGTTTGTTCCCTGTCTTTTGCATTTCCTCGAATGGTTTATCGTGATCCGTCTCGATGATATTCCGGATGTCGACCCAGAGATGGAGCGAGAAGATGAGAGACGAGTTGTAGCTGTTCCGCTTCAGGCACTCCTGAAAGTCCAACAGCAGCACCGACTCTGTCGGCAGCACGGGGGGTTCCTGCCCGTTGATCTTGAGCGCCTTCAAGTGCGCCCCCTCGGTAATGATCTGGTGCGTCACCCGCCCTTCAAACTTTTTCCACTCCTCCACCGAATTGGCCCCGTACACGGTCGGCGACCGCTGCGACGGCGGCATCATCGGCACTTTTCCGGGGGGTATCATTTCCAGCGCCTGCTGCAGCGTGAAATGCGACGCCAGCGCCAGCCAATCCGCCTCGTCCCGCCAGATGCGCTCGTTTTTTTCGGCTTCCGACAACTCGTCATACGAGTCGTAATCGATATGTTCAATGCCGTAGTGATAAAACAGCATGCTCATCATGAAATCGTACCGCGCCAGCGCCGGGCTGAGCGGCCGCACCTCCCGCACGAGATCGTACTCGAGCTGGTGGAAGAGCTCGAACGCCGCGTTGGTGATCACCGCCAGCGTGTCGAGCGGGACGGACCGGTCGTACCAGTAGTCGCACCACCGCTCGGCCACGTGGTTGCGGATGGCGTTGAAGTCCTCGAAGAAGCAGTATACCATCATGTAGAGGTCGAACTCGTCGTCTTCGTCCTCGTCGCCGTCCTCGCCCGGTAGCCCAAACCGGAATTTGTCCACCCACGCCGTGTCTCCTTTCCGCTTCTTGCCCGGTGTGTCCGGCTGCGTCTCAGCAGTCTGTTTTCTCTGTTTTTGCCCCTTCTTCCCGCCCTTCTTTTTGCTGCCTTGTTTGTTGTGCGACCGGTCTCCCGCTCCTCCCGGTGTCGATACTTCCCCCTCCGACTCGTCCCCAGCAGCAGCAGCAGCAGCAGCAGCAGCAGCAGCAGCCTGCTCCTCGCCCGCCGCATCGGTGGTGCCTGTCTGCAACTCGAGGTACGCAAACATATTACTCAAGTCCGCCGTCGTCACCTGGGATTTATCCTCCGATTTCTCCGCACGCTTGCGGCTCCTCCCCGCCTTGGCCAGCGCCTCCAACTTGGCCAGCACACGCTCGAGCACGCTGATAATGTGCGCATGGTTGGCGTTGCTCTGCTTGACTTTTTCGTCTTGTGACTCCTTGGCTGAGCTGCTGAAGAAGCTGAAGCTCTTCTTGCGCAGCCCGACTACGTCGCGGAGGATGTTGAGGGCTGCGTCGGGGATGTCTTCGGGCGTGGCGTGGTCGACGATGCGCTGGGCGAGAACTTCGAGTTGGCTCCAGTGGACGAATTTGCCGTGGGAGGTGGTCAGGCCGAATCCTCCCCCGGAGTTGGGGTCTTTGGTATTTTTCTTCTTTTGTCGGCGTGATTGCTGTGGTGTTGGGTCTGCTGCGTCGTCGTCGGCTGCTGCTGCTGGCCCTGTGTTCGCTTCGCCGTCTTTGTTTCGGGTGACGAGCTTCTCGGCGGTTTGTTTTAGCCAGCTGGTGAATTGGGCCTGGCCGAGCTTGTAGCGACGCCATGTTCCCAAGCCATTGGGTTGGTTTGGCGCTTCCATCGCCGGGAGTGACGCCGAGGTTGATGGCGATCGGAGGATAGGACGCGTTTCGTCCGGTCTCGGTGTGCTAGTGCCTAGTTAGTTCCTGCTGGTGGTCAATAGCTCTGTCTTTCAGCGCTCGAGACCCCGCCGCCCTGAGGATACCCCACTCAACCCCACCTTGAAAGACGCGCTCGGAAGCGCGTTTTGGGCCATTTCCATCTTTCCTCGAGACTACGTCAAACAATAAATCATCACGAATTTTACATTCCACGGATGCCAGATCTGATCGCGATGGTGGTTCTTAAACATTGCCCACCCCACCGTCACGAGTACCCTCGTAGACACCCTACGATTATCGTTCAAGCACCAACAGCGCAAGACCAAAACAGATAACTACCTTCGATGAAATCTTAACAGATCTTGATTGGTTTACTCTTTTCCGTCTTTTTTTTCACTTTTTTTGATTTACTCTTTTTTGTTTTCTTTCGCCCTTTTTATTTCTTCTTCTCAGTCTTTTTTTCACTTTGTAGAAAAGTAAGTTATCCAAGGACCTGGTCTGCCGCTTTCTTTGGCCAGAGCGAGGTTAGGTGCGAGACCCTGCTGCTCTGAGGATATCCCACTCGACCCCCCACCTTGAAAGACGGGCTCGGAAGTGCGTTTGTGCTATTTCCATCTTTCCTCGAGACGACGAATACATCAACAATAAATCATCACGAATTTTACATTCCAAGGAAGCTAGACCAGATATCCTCGCATACAAAGGAGTCCTCCCAAGAGCTGGCACTCTGCGCCAACATGCCCGCTGCGATACAGGGACAGGGCGTCGTCGACGCCATCAATGCCCTTAGTGCGCAGATGCAGCAGAGCCACAATGAGCTACAGCAGCAGATACAGCAGATGCAGCAGAAAATTGCAGGGCTAGACGATCGCCTAGATAGCTTAACCGTAGCAATGCAAGCGAGGCGAGTAATCCAACAGGTTAGAACTGGTCCATAAAATCTCAACACAAACCTAATTAGTATATACATTTCTAAAGGGACGCAAATGACCATACTCGGCTCACGAACAACGTACTCACAACGAAGGCGGATCAGCCACTTGAGCCTCTATGCTCAATTACGACCGGAAACCCGATTCCTGGGTTTCCCGCAACCCTAAATGATATCATGAGATTGACTCGTACGCATACCTAAGTGTCCCTTCTAGAACGGTTCCTATACCTGGATCTAACATATGGTCTGTTAGCTATTGAAGCAAATGAGATCCTGCGGCACCTGGGTCATGATATGGGACAAGCCCCAGTCGCGGCCAAAAGACGGCGAATCAAATCTTTGTGTGGCCTGATTGCATTTTAGAGTTGTATGGTTGGTACCTTCGTATCGCCTTGGGAACGCCAGGCCATCGGTTCGTGGACTCGTTCCAGCATCCCGTCCGCATCGCCAACTGTGCGTTCACGACATCTCAGACTGTGGCCAAACACTTTGGTTTCACGATCAGGACCGGACTGTCAACATGCTGCCGCCCATCTGCCGTGGATCGCCCGATGATTTTCCCCGTCCGAGGATCACGAAGCAAACCGTTCCGAGCGGCTGGGACCGTGCCGAGACCCTGACTGGGCCGCTCTTCACTGCCGAAGCGCCCCCTCAACGCCACCCCCGGCCGATGTCACATATTTAGACGGTGAAGTCGCCCAAAATATGACACGTCGTTTTTTCGGCTTTCCAAATGTTCCTGTCGGGGAATTAAACAGGCTAGCTTTATAGAGTACACTAGCGTGACTAGTCATGGCTTGCTGACCCCTCGTCGTTCCTCGAGTCGCGCTTGGTTCGGGTCATCCCAAGAGTTCCCCCAATACTCCCCCGGCTGTCGGCTCTTCGATACCCGAGACCTTCAAGTTATGAGATGCGAGGGATCGCACACCTTTACGAGCGGCCCCTTGCTCTCAGATCTCTCCAGAGCAGGGCTGAACAGTCCGAAAGTCTTCGGACCTCCCAAAGGAGCGTGACATCACCCTTGAAAGGGACCTTTGCTTGCGAATGCCCCGAAGGGGGTTGCCCTTTTGCTTGTGCCATCCCGCGTCCCGGCCGCCCTCCCCTCCACCATGCCATTTTGGGCTTGACGGAGGAGCACTATTGCGCTGGGAACCGCCCTGAGCGCATCCATGGCCTGTAGCAGAATACGCCATTTTAAACCGGCAATGTGATATCTTTTCTGCATTTTTGGCGCCTTCTGCCGGCCGGAGCGAGCTGCCTTCGCTTGGCGCCACTCGACACCATCCGTTGGGGCACATGCTGCTGTTGCTCTCTTGCGATGGCTCAACTGCGTTATAGACGAGCCCCGCCGATGCCTGTCAAACAGAACAAGGTTACACGATCTTAAGCCGCAAATCGATCTACCATGTACAACTCGATCTCCGTCGGTCTTGGGAGGGGCTCTTATCGGTGGACTGCGGCGTGTGACACTCACAATCCCGGGCGAATACAGTGTTGCTACCGGGTTATTGGCATCAATGGAAAACGGAGGGGGCAATGACCTATTAGCGCATGCCGAGATCCGTTTTCAAGCCTTTGTACCTTTGAGATGCTTCGCTCGTACCGAAGCCTAACCCCAACTTGTTGTTGTTGTTGCGAGAAGCGCCCCATCATTTTCCTACGTCCAGTTACTGCACCCTTTGAACTAGAAGTAGCTTATGACGGCTTCATTCCAACAAGATGAACATGTGGAGTTCTAGGCCCCAGCCTGAACGTAGGAAATCCCCGGATTGCTACGTATGTTATCATGTAGGAGTTTGGGTTCAACGCTCGCTTCCATGCAAATTGTCGCCCAAGCGGTTAACCTGCCAACTTCTGGAACAGCCTCTCGGTTCCAGAGCTGGCGATTAACCAGCGCATCTCTCGGCTCAACCGCTCTAGAATAATGGAAGCGGCAGACACAATCTATGACGCTGCCGGCATCGCTAAGCGAATGACACCTCACTGTGCGTGCATGTCCAGCGCCTCATCGATGATTCATGATCGATGAGCCTCCGCGACAACCACAACGCTTCTGTCTCAATCACATGTGCCTCACTCCCAGTCTCCCAGTAGTGTACACCCTTCTCTCGCATATCTCGGCCTCGGACGTTGGACGCGGACGGTCCGCGTCGACAGAACAGGAAAGACCGTTGCGAGAACCATCTCGACCGAGACAACACCCCTCGGATAATCCTTCGCCATGTCTCACCTCCAAACAACAACAACGGCACTCATGATCTAACACCGTCCAACGGTCACATTCTTATGCTCTGCCGAACTACACAGTAACTCGGGAGACACACCCGAAGGCGCACAGCTCAACTAAATAAATGAGTAAATCAGCGGCATACAACACAGTCTACACTGTCCCGCACGCCAACAAAGCCCCAATAACCCCCCACTTTCTACTCAATCTCTTAGTGTGTACGTCCGGTCACATGAGCGCGAAGCGATGCGGCCGCCATCTCCATCGATCTTCGGACGGGGCCGGGAAAGGGAGGGAGGGAAGGAGAGCAAACAAACATGCTTGCTTGCGTCGTGATTCCATGAGGAAAGGAAGGATCCTAGTGTGGTTTGTGCTTGTTGCTGGCATGCTGCCGCCCATCGTATTGTAGGTGTGGTGTATCCCACCAATCGAAAGAATTACCCTTTTCGTCCACGCAGCTGTGTGTTCTGTGTTCCGGGAGCCGAGAGGCTGAGCGTATCCGTATAGTTAGTGTAGCAGCAAACATTGACCGGTCTCGGGCGAGGAGTGTATGTACACTGAAGGAATACACTAGGGTGACCTGTCAAGTCCGGGAGCCTTTGTTGTTGGCGCTTTCTCGCATGAGCCTTCGGAGATTGGTAGACAGGAGGGGCATCTAAGTCCGAAACTGGGCACAAGAATACGTTAGTTATTGCCAAGGTGGTGATTTCAAGATGATATCGCGTCGCGTCGCAACAATAATGAGGAAATACAACTAACGAGAAAAAACTGCCGCCACAACTCCCGTCCATTTCCCCAACCGCCCAACCTTATCTCGGCATTCCTTTCTCCTATCTCCTCCCTCCAGAGACACCAGTGACACCAGTGAGACCAGTGAGACCACCGACCGGCGCATCCAATCCGACAATGCGATGCGAGTGGGTGAACTTGGTGGTCAGGAATGAAATGCAATGAAATGCAATGCCAAGGGGGGGGGTGTCAGCCCGAACTCGCGGGCCGCCGACCGGGCCATGCCGCGCCATGACGAGCGGAACCCCGATGCGGAAAGGGAGGGGTGGAAGAGAAAGTAGTCAGATGACGGTTCTAAAGTTCCATTGTTTGACTTTCTCACACCGGTGAAGCATAAAACGGCATTTCGTGAGCAGCCTCATTTCCAACCCCCCCAAAGCTGCATGTAGTGTATTGTAAACGGTCAGCCACTACACAACCAACGCTGCAGTCAGCTAGGCCGTCAACTCCCCCCTTAGTCTTTCAAGTCTGTCAATCACCCCCCCCTACCTGCTATGAAGACATTCGATGAATGACGTTCATTGATGTCCCCCCCGCTGACTGTGCCCAGCCAAGCCAGCCAGCCAGACGCAACACAACCGTGACGACAGACAAGCCAAGGTCAATAAGTTATCCGCGCCAACCAAACCCCCTTGATGTGCTGACCCCGGCCTTGCACCCGAGCGCCCAGCCCCGGACCCACGACCAGCCGGGCAGCGTACCCCTCGCTCCCCGCAAAACCCTTGCTTGAAGATTCGAGGAAAGAAGGCTAAGCTCGCAAGCAAGGGAGTAAACCCAACTAGCTTCCCCGCGCTTGCAATGCACACCGTGACACCGTAACACCGTCACGTTCACCTTTCCTCCGAGCGCGCTCGGTTGCTCGGTGCTCACCGTGATGGGCCACGGCAGACAAACCCGGCAACGATGAGAACTGCAAGCAAGCAAGTATCACACCGGGGCGACCACGGCAGTTGTTGATGATTGAAGATTCCCTGTTCGGTCCGGTCCTCTTGTGCTCCTTGGGGGCTAAA